CCAGCCGGAGCTCATGCAGAATTAGGAGGTAGCAGGCTCTTGTCGTCAAGGAGGGGCTTCCAGGAACGAAAATAACCAGCCACGATAGTCAATGCTATGATGATATCCAACAGCCCAAGGCCGTTATAGCAGCAGGAATAAAGGATTCCTCATCGATTGTTCAGAGTCAAGTTGAATGGAGGAAAACCCCGGCTCCAGACGCTAGTAGAAACAATTGCTGTAGCAATAGCTCACCCCCCAGGGCAGCTCCCCCACAAAGTCTAAAACCTGTACCAGCAGCAATAGTCACAGTCCAAATGAGGTGAGGTCCCATAGATTGGGCCTCCTTCAGGTCCCGTCGGCCAGAAAATGTCGGCTGGCGGGCCCTCGGGGAAGGGCCTTTTCTGTGGTGGTTCCGACCTGGTGGAATCAACTTCCCCCCGAGGTTCGAACTACTCCCACCCTGCCGGCCTTTAAGAAAGCCGTTAAAACTCTCCTGTTCCGGCAGGTCTGGGGCTGATGTCCCCGGGGGGCCGGGATATGATCGGACTTGCGGTATGACTATTATTTTATTGTTTTTATGATTGTTTTAACTTTGTACGCCGCCCTGAGTCCTTTGGGATTGGGCAGCATATAAATATTTGAAAATAAATAAATAAATAAATAGCCTCCAGGCTTCGCAGCAATAGTAGCCACCACCAGTCTCTCCTCTCCTTCTGTTGCTTCTTCTTCAATCAGGTCTCAGCGTCCTTTCCTTCCCTTTTCTATCTTTTTCTTCTGCTCAAGCCGGCCACACCCAAAGCCAGCAGCAACTGTTCCAATCTCTCCCTTCCCAACCAAGCTCCTGCAAACACTCTCAGACAGCCCCGCTACAAAACTAAGGAAGATTTAGAGGAAAAGACAAAGAGAATTTGGAGTTTCACAAGCTTTAAAGGAGAAGGGCTGCCCTTCTTGAAAATATGTGGTAATAAATATTTCATCTTGTCCTGCACTTGTGCTATTGGTAGATAAAATCAAATGCTCCTGGGACTCTTTTCTAGAAAAAGCAACATTGGGATAAATGATCTGCCCTTAAAACAGTGGTTCTCAACCTGTGGATCGGGACCCCATTTGGGGTTGAACTACCATTTCACGGGAGTCGCCAAACAACGCAGTCCACCATTTTTTCCCCCTTTTTCTTAGCTGTGCTACTCCCTTTTATTCTATTGGCTTTTGAAAGGCAATATAATAGACTCTCTTGAATAGAGTCTAATTCTATTGGCTTTCAAAAGCCAATAGGAATTGTCCAGGCTGTCTCTGCCCTGCTGAGCCCGCCAAAAGTCCCATTCTGCAAACGGTGCTGCAAGTTGTCTGCAGCGAAGGCGAGCTGTCTGGAAGTTTCCACTCCTCCCTGCTGAGCAACTACTAAAAATATAAGTAAAAGAGGGCCAGGGGTGGGAGGTGGGAGGCCGTCGGGCGCAGGGAGGGTTGCTGGCATGCGTGGGGCCCGGCGGGTGCCTTACCTCCCTTGGGCTGGGCCAGCTGGTGGCCCAGCCGGTGGTCGGCCTGCGCCATCTCTGCCGATTGCCAGCTATGCCTCGGCTGGCGCAGGGGGCGGCACCACGCACGTGCGGCGCTCCCGGGCAGGGAAAGTCCTCGACTTATGACTGGTTGGGTAGTCCTCAACTTACGACCGGTTGGGTAGTCTTTGACTTACGACTGGTTGGGGTCGCGGCATTAAAAAGGTTGAGAACCACTGCCTTAAAACATCTCACCATTCAGAAAAGAGATCAGTATAACTTCATAATAAATCTTAAGTGCAACATGATGAACAGTGAAACTAAACCAGTGGAGCAAAAGATTAAACTACTTGATTCTTATGGGGAAATTGACATCATGAAGCCAACTTAAGAAATCTTTCTGGATTTCAACCTGTCTGCTTTGACCATGGAGAGGGTCTGATCTCTTATACACCATGGCTCCTGATCAATGGATTTGTCCTTTTCTTTCCCATTACTCATGTGCCTTGAGCTAGCAGAGAAGTGACAGAATGCGTGTCAAGTTTCCTCTGGTTAAAATAGGACAGCAAAGACAGAGCCATCCTTTTACTGAACTTGGTTCAGTGATTCACTGTTTCATTAGTGCTTGTATAAAAAATAATGGTAGATCCATTGGAAGGAGGAGGGGAGGGGAGGAGAGGGAGAAAGAGAAGAAGGAGGAGGAGGAGGAAGAGGAAGAAGAGGAAGAGAAAGAAAAAGAGAAAGAGCGGAGGGAGAAGGACTATTCCAGTGTGAACTTATAAGAAAGAAACAGATGAGGGGTGAAGCTGTCAGAGAGTAAAAGAGAGTTTGCCTACAATGAAGTGAAATGCAGATGAACCAAACAGCACTATTTGAGTTGTATTGACACTGGGGTCAGCTGGTCATGTGAATCAGACCAAGAGAAATAATTCAGGGAAAAAAACAAAATATTTGTGAAAATTGAGCTTCTCAGGGTAATAGCCGTAATATTACAAATTACAGTTTTCCTTCTAGTTTTATCTTTTTAAAAAATTACTAGACTGATGAGAAGATTACAAAAACGCTGGTAGATAGATTAAAGAAATAACATACTGTTACTTGCCTTATGGAGCATTATTCTAATTGATCAATAAGCATCTTACAAACTGGCATACTCCAGGCCTGTGGAACTATCACTTCCACAAGAGTTTGGGAGAAGCAAACCTTCCATTCACCTCTCAGTAAAATGAATGGAATGAATATAGGGTATTCATTTGGCTGAGATGAGAAAGCATTTTAAGAAAGTGTTTTAGTTTTATAAAGTTAAAAAAAAAATAGTATATATACATTTAAGCCTTTATACCAGAAACGTTTTGGCAAGTGGTGGTGTGTATCTAATATTGCATTTCTATTTTGCCACCAAACAAGATATTCCACATTCCTACATATAATTATCTACTTAAATGTGACCTGCTATTATTATCAAGGCATAGTTTTTTTTCCTCAAAAACAACGAAACGTGAAGGTTGGTGGCTTTTTCTGTAGAATTTGGAAGGAACTATTGCAAAAATGAAGATGACATGAACTAATTTCTTTGGCAATCACAAAAGGTGCACTGCTTGAAGAGGGGATACACGGTTTTTTTTAAAAAAAGAAAAAAGATAGAGAACAATCAGGACCTGATTGCATGTGCCACCTAGGAGCAGATTGCCTATAAATGTAGACTTTGTACTGGAAGTCCCTGACTTAAGACCACAATTGAGGCTAGAATCCCCGTTGCTAAGTGAAGCAGTTCTTAAGTGAGTCATGCCCAATTTTAACAGCCCTTTTTGCCAATGTTGTTAAGAGAATCACTGCAGTTGTTATGCAAATCATGAGGTCATTAAGCAAATCTGCTCCCCCCCCATTGATTTTCCTTGTCAGAAGCTGGCTGGGAAGGTCACAAATGGCAATCACATGACCTCCCCCAGATGCTGCAGCCATCATAAATACATGCCATTTGCAAAGTGCCCAAATTTTGATCACATGATCTTGGTGATGTCACGACAATTGTTAAGTGCGAAGACCACATTTTTCAATGCCGCTGTGACTTTGAATAATCATTCAACTAACAAATATTGATTTATTGAATCATGTAAAAATAAGAATATTAAACCTATTAGACATTCACATATTTTTTCATGAAAAAAAATCCTAATTTTTAACAAAAAAGAAAAACTAATGAGAAGAGTGGCATTGTTTTACATTTTTGCAAATAACTTCAATATCTGGCAAATAATTCTGATTTTGTGGACTACTGAGAGGATCTTGGGGAACTCCTTGGGCCATACTTAGTTTAAACTACAGAATTCCAGGCAAGGTGCCAAAAGTCAGCAGTGCCTTAAAAAGTATTCCTGCCATACTATTGTATCCTGCTCATATACTTCAGTCTAACAGCTCTGCTAACTGTCTCTGCCCATTCATTCTAGGGTAACACGCTGGTCCATTTGGTTTTGTCTACAAATGAATTTGCCATGTCCAAACGCTGCAACTCCTAGCTTGTTCAGCCCTGCATGCAATATGGCAAATACCCAGTTCCTGCAGATGGCTTGCCTCGTGCCATGATATCATGCCAGGGGACAGAAGAGATGGGGAGAGCATTCCAGGCAAGGTGCCACAAAAACGCGTGGCTTGAAATAGACCCCCGCGGTGCTTGTGCCAATGCCTGGCTGCTCTTTCATGCAAGCATGCCAATTGCATTTTCAAGCTTATAGAAATGGTGGATTGCAGAGTGTATTTTCTAAACTCATTTGACGGGAAAGAGACTGGCTATAATTAATTATACAGGGCAGGTGAAGAGCTATATAAAACTGTGAAGGATAAGACATTTTTTATAGGGAGGAAACTGTACGCGAAGAATGTAATGAAGCCTATATTTTTTATTTCCCGCCCAAAAAACCCACCCCATCAGGAGTTATGGTTACTTAGAAGCAGCCAAATTATTTATGGTAAAGATCAGTTCATTTCTGTTCCCTTCTCTCGAGCGGACGTTTTAGTCCCCGCTTGCAGCCGGGTGGAAGACGCAAGTTTCTCTTCTTAGCTCGGGCAAAATAGCATTCGACCCTCCCAATAAATCCCTTTGCCCGGTTTTCTCAACAAACACCTGCTCGCGCCATGCTGTTGGATCTGATATCGAAGAAATGCCTCGGGAAATCTCCCCATGCTCAGAGGCTACGTTCCTTTTGGGTGTCTCGCAAGGCTGAGCACTCCTTCCACACAAAACATGTTTTGCAAATCCATTCCGAGGGCGCGGACGACAAAGAGTCCATTCATCGCGCTAACTCACGCTCGTGCCGCTCCGAAAGCCCGATCTCCAGTTTGGTTCCCCCTCGTCCCTTCTACCGGCCCTGGCTCCCTCGGCCAATCCCGTCGCTCGGCCCCTGATCCGATCCAAACGGCGCTTTCTCATTAGTTAAACAGTATCCCTCTCCTCACCGCTCAGCCAACCCGAAGAGAGATGCGCGGATAGCCGGGTGGTGTGGGGGGGGGGGTGGCGGGGAGGTGGCTTGCCCGCGTTCTAAAAGATTAGTGCGGTTGGGCGCGATTCGTGGGTTTCAGTGATCCGTTCGACTACGGAGACCTCGTATGGGGTGCAGTCCGAGGGGAAAGGAGGAGTCAAGGACCGCTAGGAATAGACTTTAGGGTTCTTGAGCGGAACGAAACGTGATGATTGGAAATGGGCGAAGGAGCATCTTATTCTTATGAGTGCACTTTTGGGGTTCCTTGAGCACCGCGTATAAAGAGGGGCCACGGGCTACGCATTAGTAGCCAGAGAGAGAGAGAGAAAGCATAGCAGAACACTCTGGAACTCTTCTTAAAAGGCGTGGTTTTTTTATTGCAAGACATACCTATAGGAAGCGGTTACGGAAAGGTGGGGCCGAGAGGAGGGTGCAGGTTGTTGAAAGTCGTGACTGTTCTTTGAAAGAGCCCGGTGCGATCTTGCAAGCCCGGTTAAAGAGAGAAGCTAATTGGCGAACTCCCGCAGAAACTGACGATGGGGCCTCTGCTGTCTCTAGGGATTGGGCTTCTGCTGTTCTTGCTCTGGGCTCGCTACAGAGGCATTGAATATGTGCTAGTCCATCACCGCTGGATTTTCGTGTGCCTTTTCCTGTTGCCCCTTTCTGTTCTTTTCGACATTTACTACCAGCTCCGGGCTTGGGTTGTGCAGAAGCTGCACTGTGCTCCTCGGCAACATGACTTGCGGGTTCGGAACATCCAGAAACAGGTAAGGACCAGCGGAACTAGTTGGGTTGGGGGAAAAAAAGTTTTTTTTTTTTCCAAATCCAGACGGTGGTGAAGAGTTTTGAGGGTGTTTCTGTATCCCTTTCCAATAGAGAGGGAAAAGATTGCAAGCGTGAGTAACAAGAGTTCCTCTCGCAGTTCCGAATTGCGTTGTCTAGCTCAGGGGTTCCCAACCCCAGAACCGGGCCACGGCATGCCAGTAACCGGTCCGCACAAATAAGCAAAGCCCCATCCGTGGGATACAGGCAGCGCACAAAACCACGCACCCTCCTGTTATGTGCTCCTGGCTACTTTCTTTCGTGACCAGAGGCAAGCTCGCCTGACCAATAACCAGCCAAGACACAGTGAAGGCCTTTTGTTTCGTTTATTGCAATAAGCGGGGAGAGAAGCTCAAAGCTTGGTTCTCTCCAAAGTTTTAACCCAAAATATCTCCTTCTTTTATTCATCCCTATCACCGCCGCTACAGCCCTCCTCTTTCCCCATTGGCTGAGGTAGTATGAGGTTACACTCTTTCCGTCCGCCTATACACATTTCCTGATAACACACTAAATCATATTCACATATACAATAAGAATAAGAAAAATTATTTTCTTATGGTTATTTTTAAACTCAAATATATTTATGTCCCCATTAAACAATAAGTTCTTTTCCTGCTTTTCAATTCAATTCATCATTTCAATTCATCATTCTCTTCTTATCTTATTTGGCCTGGTTTCCTTCTTTCCTATACTTCCTGGCTAGCCATTTCCTATATATATTTTTATAGCTTCTGTTCTTCCTTTCTCAGACCCAACTATTTTTGCCTATATGGTTATCTTATTTCCTTAATCTCTTCCTGACTCTCACCATCTGTATTAGTTTCCATTGTATTGTATTTTTAACTGACTGAAGATTCATCATATTAATGTATATTTATCAATCCCCCCTGTATTTCTGTATACTCTGATGAATCTTCATTTTTATTCAATATTAGATAACATAAATTTAATCTGTACATCTTCTTCAGAGATGTTTTTCGCTACTGACCCCAATGTTTTGGTGCAAAATGAAACACAGCAGGGTATACATTAGAGACAAACACAACACATAATACCTATCACAACTATAAACACTAGTCCTATAAATATTTGTTTTAACCATCCAAAATTGGGAAGCCAATTTGTTAACCAACTCCAATTACCCCACATATTTTCATACTTTTGTTCAGGAGCTTTGGCCACATTCCTGATTCCTTTTGCAATGTCCATTCTGCTTCATGATTATCATCTACCTTTAAATCCCACAAACACATTTTTACCTTTATTTCCCAGGCTGTTCTGGTGTGTTGTCTTCAGTAACATTAGAAGTAGAATCCACCCTTCATGATTATTACACAGTATTTCACACCCACAAATTGATCCACAGTTACAACAATAACAATAATCACTAGCTATTACAGAGGTAACACATCTACTACCTGATTCTTACAATGTACAATTCTACATTTTCAGTTTCTAATGATACGACTTCTGACTTAATTCATTTTATTTGTAACAAACAACTTTTATTTCTCTGATGAGTCACCACCAACATCTTTGTTCTTCGTCTGGGGTCACCTGAAATTCTAATAAAGATATTCAAAATAGGTAGGGGTTCTGGTCCACTACCCATTCAAGTCCTTTTAAACGTGGCTTTCAGTCCTTGTCCTGGAATAACCGTCCACCCTCTTTCAGGTCCAGTCACCACCTTTGCTCATGTGTAGTGAGTCCAACCCTTCTCAGCCCTCCGGACAGCAGATATAACAAGGAACTTCCTTTCTTTGGTTGTAGAAGTTCCTCCTTCCATTCTGTCCCGGCTGGATTTTATGGACTGGAAATTCCAAAGGAGTTGTTTGCGCCACCAAGCCTTCCTGTCAAAGAGAAGACAGAGACCCCAGTACTTTGTTCTACATTTAGCTATTTGTCTCCCTCCTTTGGGAGCCTTAACCCTTTATTAACCCTTTTACATATCAAACATCCCTCTGTAGCCCTTTGGGCTATCCCATAAATTCCAAGGGTAGTATAGAATTTCAAATACATTTCTACCTATACTTCAATTCCCCAATATTTCCCCTCATATAGTTTTTGGATCACCATTCTTGCAGTACCTTGTGATAACCACAGAATCCCCTTAAGACCATTTTTGTTGTTTGGTAATTATAAATCTATATCCTTAATCCTTTTACTATCTATTTTCCTTTCCAATTCAACTATCAAATACATTTCTAGATATTTTACCTCCTTTCATACCAATTGGGCTTTATTTGCTAAACACCCTCAATCCTTTCTTCTGCCAAAAAGTTGCTTTCCCATTTCTTTATAATTCCCAGAATAAGATCTTACAAAATTGGGAAGCTACATAAAAATGTATTTGCTTCCACAGCTTAAAAATGGAGGAAAGAAAAGAAAGAAAAAAAATCATTTGTCCTGTATCAGATAGACTACACTTGTCCATGGAAGCTCTATCAAAAATTGTCACATTTTTCTTTCTTCTCCCCCTTTCACCCTGATTAGATACCATGTTACAAAAATATAACTCAATAAACTTATTGTAAATAACACATTCAGGATTTTAAAAGGTAAAGCATATAGACTCACCAATTAGCATTGGGCCAACATTTCTGGAATGCCTTTTGTCTCAGGCAAATAACATTCAAATCACTCTTGTGGCAGCACATCAAAGAACGCCAGGATAGCTAAGAAGACAAAAGATTGTCTCCCCCTTCCCCCACTCTCCAAACCAGACAGTAAAAATTTATACAAAACTTTTGCTTGAAACAGCCCTAATTCAGGAGGAAAATTGCCATAACATTTACAAAAGTGGCTTGCCAATACCTCCTTCCTATGGCTGAACAAAAATAAACCAGCCCCAAAACACTCAGCCAACCCTCATGGCTAAAACAGGATTTGAACTCAAATCCAGCCTTGCAGCCTGTGGCTATAACCCTGAAACCAAATTGGTTTTCTATAAAGATTTCCCTCCCCCTCCTTGGCTCCAGGGAAAAGAAAAACAAATTGGACATACACAGTATGCAGCAATTAATCATCTTTTCTTCAGTAGCAAGGAGTCCCAAAGACACATATTTATCAAATGTTAAATAAAACATCATAAGATTGTTCCTTTGACAAGAATACCCTCAAATGCATTATTAAGGATAAATCCAAACGAAAATGCAAAGGAAAATCACTGAAGCATGCCACACATACAAAAACAGAATATCAGAGTTGGATGGGACATTAGAGGTCCTCTAGCCCAACCCCTTACTGAAACAGGAAACTCTATCCATTTCAGACCCTATCAATTTCTAACCTCCTCCCAAAAACCTCCAATAATGAAGCATCCACAATTTCTGGAAACAATTATCCCACTGATTAATTATCCTTACAGTCAGGAAATTTTACCCAATTTCTGTTCTTTAAAAACACACATACACACAAACAAACATGCAGACAGAAACTGCCTCCCCCCCTTTTTTCTTCTTCTTTCTTCTTTTTCTTTCTGCATCTCTTACTTTTCCAAGGCAGAAATTCTTGGGTTAAAAAAAGTAACAAACTAAACATTTTTAAAAGGATTGCTCAAAAATTTCACCCCCCTTCAATAGCCCTTCCACCATAGGTTTTAAATCCATTCTTCCTTCCAATGTAATGTTATACTGTTTCTGATGTACAGCTTCTCCTGGTTGTTTAAGAGTTATTTTTAAGGGTTTAATTTGAACCCTTCCCCTATTCCCCTCCTTGGCCCAAACTGAGGGGTTCACTTTTCTTTGAGCCTCCTCACTTAAGGCCATAATGTTTACCATTATTTCCCTTTCATTTCCCATAATAACAACCCCCAATTTACCAATTAAATCCCTTCCAACCAAATTACAGCTCCCTTCAACCAATACAAAGTTCAGGTCCTTTTACTACTGTCTGGACCATAGCAGATTAAATATTGTTGCTTCTACTACATGTCCATAATTCCCTGATCCTTAATCTTCCCTTTCCCAATTTGCATTCCTGGAGGTAAAAGTTCAGGGTAAATCTGGTGGTCCAAAATCCACCAAGTACACCCTTTTTCTCCTCCAGGGATCCAGCCTTTAAGGTTTATCAGGGGTTCCTAAAAAGCTGAACCAGAAAACAGATTAGTCCCCTGACACCCTTAATCCTCAAAGTTCACCAAATGTGCTAGTTCTTCCCCCTCCTTCCTCTTAAGGTACCTTCCTCTTAAGGTACCGTACTCATTTTCCCAGTGTCCTTCCTCCTTACAACAGGCACATTTGTTTATTTAAAGACTGGGGAAAATTTTCTCCTAGAAATTTATATCCCCTGGTGCCAACTGGCTGTCCTCACCCCCAGTCTGCCTTTCCTAATTACTCTTCCTCTTTGTTGGCCTGTTTGCAATAATTGAGCCATGATTTTTATCTTATCTTACGTTTATCTCTCTCCTCTTCTCACTTTGCATATACTTTCTGAGCCTCTTTTACCGCTAATAAACCTTCTATTGTTTTAGTTTTCCATCTGTCTAATTTCTGCATTTGTACCCTAATACCTTCCCATGCTTTCCATTGGTCCTAAAAACATTTCTAACCTGTTTTCAAAAGCTGTTAGGGGGGACAATTCCCTCCCCCCTTTGGAGAGAGGTTTTCTCCTCTCTTGTTACCTTCCAAACTATAGGAACCTCAAGAAATACATAGCTTTTTACTTAACTCTTTCACACAAAATAGCGGATCAGAGATCTCACCTTTCAAGCATAAAACTTACCCCCAGCTCCTTTGTTTCTCTCTCTTTCCCTCTCTTCCATCTGATTATTTCCATTCTTTTAACACCTTCCATTGTCCTTCTAATTACTAAGAAACTACCCTTCTTCACCCTTTCTTGCTTTTACACCAGACACAAAAAAATTCCAAATGCTTCACCCCAGGCAAAACAATCATTCTTATTTTCAAGAAGCTTTTTTCCCCAAATTTCCCTTTTGGAATAAGAC